GACAATCTGGGAGGCAGTCGCCAGGTCAGCAGTAGCCTCTTTGGGCGGGGAGAGATAGGCCAGGAGGACATACGCGGTCATCTCCACTTCAGCTGACAGGGCTTGGGCCCAGAAGGAATCAGTGCCAGGCGGCGGCTTCACCTTCCTCTCCCAGTGGAGCTGCCCCCCTAGGAGAGAAGCCGATGGAAGGAGAGCCCATGGATGCAGCTACAGCACAGTAGGGGCCACATGCCTTCCTCCCCAAGGCCCCTCACAGACTTCCTAGGCCAGGGGAGACCCTTGCTCCCAGGACATGGCAGAGCAGCTGCTCGAGAGCCCTCAGGAGGGTTATCCATGTGCAACTACATGCTGTGAAGGTTGTTGGCAACAGGATGCCAATCCCTGCGCTTTCATACCCCATCAGGGAGGGGCATGAGGGGAACTCCAGAGTTGCTGGCACAGACCAGCTCAGCCACGTTGCAGGGCTGTGCAATGAAGGGAGGTTTTATAGGATTTCTGACACAGCAGAACCTCCACAGAGCACGGAGGGGCGGGAGCGAGGTCCTGAAGAAGCGGGCCTTAGTGCCTCTCTCAGCTTTAAAGGAGCCAGCAAGACAGTGCCCAGGTTGATCACAGGGGGCCAACATGGGGTTCCCTGCTCTGCTGAAATGGCACCTGGGCCACCACTGCCCCTGGCATCACTGACATCATTACCCTGTTCACTATCCCATGGGAAATGGCTGGACAGCTTCAGTCCAGTTCTTAGCACACACATATCCCACAGCCGGCCCCAGGTAGCTGGCCTCTCACTGGCAGCTTCTGCTGGGAGGCCCTGGCTTGGGTGGGCTCCAGAGACTCAGCAAACCTGTCAGCTCATGATGGGCTTGAGCAGGTGTGCAGTTCCCCAGGTGAAGCTTGGCAGAGCTGGGAATGCCTGCCCTGGCATGGTGGCGGTCAGCCCAGAGGGGACCAGCAGGCAGAGTAGACGGTACCAGAGCTAGTGCTGTACTGGGCCAGGCTTTTCAGAAGGGCACTCCACAGCTGCATGTCCCCTGCCAGCCCGAAGGAATAGGCCAGCAGCACCTGTGTGTAGATGTCAGTGGTGTTGGAGGATTTGTGCAAGCACTGGAGGGCCTTGCTCATCATGGGGTCCTGGGAGAGAGTGGAGAGACATAAAACATTGCTTGCGAGACCCAAGCCCTGAGCCTGGCAGCCTGGCAAGAACCTAGTGTCCCTAAAATCCCACCCCTAGTCCATGCACCAGGTCGTGCTGTGTCCACGTCCCACCTTCTCTGAGCCCATCACTACCTGTGTCCATGCCTGAGCAAAGCCCCCCCCGCCCTCCATCTTGTGCCATCTTCCTGCTCCCTCTGACTTCTTTATCCCTGTACCCCAGGCCTATTGATGAACGGGTGTGAGTCCACAACCCCACTCCCCCCATGACACCATTTCTGACCCTGGCCAGACCTGACTCAGCCACTGATTCTTCCTGCTGCCTGAGCCCAACAACCATCCGGTGCTTCCTCTCATTTCACCCCCACCCCCTCCCTGGTACCAACCACCCCACTGCACCCACAAGACCCCAACTGTGCGCCTAGGCCCAGGAAGGCAGGACTTGTCCTCACCATGAGCGGCAGCCCCAGCTCCAGCAGTGCAGCCGTGATGTAAGCGGAGAGAGAGAGCTCGTTCGAGATACCGCCCTGGGGGTGGGAATGCCTGTGCTGCTCCATGCAGATGAGACACTGCACGGACGGACTCATGGGGCCACAACATAAGGCCAGCGGGGTGGATGTCCTGCCTTCTGCTGCCTCCTAGCAGGCCCACCTGGGTCCTGGCAACTGCCCCCAGTCACAGCCATTGTGGGGGCCACACACGATCCATGGATTACTGCCGCACAAACGGCAGCTGCTCGCGTGAATGGGAGCGAGAGGAGGGCACACACCCTCTCAGGGAGAACTGCAGAGCCCCTCCGTCTCTAGTAGACGCCTCCCAACGCTCCTTTGTGCTTAGGGCTGGAGGAGCGGGTTTGGTTCCAGGCACCTCCTGCCCCACTCCATCCAGAGAGTAGGACTAGGAAAGCAATGGAGGGGTGAGGACTGAAACCATGTATCCTCTGCCTGAGCAGCAGGTCAAATCCAAATGCTCCCTAGCCAGGGTGTCATGAAATAAAAGGGTGGGAAGGGACCTCAGGAGGGCATCTAGCTCAAACCGCTGCTGAAGTCAGGATGTTCCCTGATTAAATCATCCTATATACGTGTTTTTCTAACCTTCTCTTAAAAACTTCCAAGGATGGATATTCCAACACCTCTCTTAAGTATTCTGTTCCAGAGCTTAACCATCCTCAGAGAGTTCTTCCTAATCTCCACCCTAAATTTCTCTTCTTGCAGTTGAGGACCATTATTCCCCATCCTGTCTCCAATGGCCACTGAGAATAGTCTATCACCATTCTCTTTATTACTACCCTTCCAGTATTTGAAGACTGTTACCAAATCACGCCTCAGACTTCTCTTCTCCAGAAAAAGAAGCCTAGTTCTTCCAACCGCTCCTCATGTCATGTTTCTTAGGCCTCTGATCATTTTTGTTGCTTTGTGCTGAACTCTCTCTAATTTGGCCACCTTCCGGAAATACAGTTTTCAAAGCTGGAGAAGAGTCACTTCCCTTGACTTGCAAGTAACACTCCTGTTAATACCACTCAGCTTTTTCTTTGCAACAAGAGAACACTGTTAACTCATATTCAGGTTGTAATCCAATATAACCCTGGGTCTTTTCCTGCAGTACAGCAGCCTAGCCACACATTCCCCACCTTGTATTGAACATGTAATTTTTTCTGTCTTAAGTGCAGGACTTTGCACATGTTGAATTTTATGCAGTTAATATTGGACCATTTGTTCAGGTGATCAAGGTAATTCTGTGTCCTAATCCTATCTTCCAAAGTGTCTGCAACTCCGCTCTGCTTGGTGCCCTGTACAATTCTGCTAACAATACACATGATCCCATCCTCCAAATCATTACTGAAGATATTAGACAGACCTGGAAGACCTCTGGGAAACCCCACTCAATACTTCCTCAGTCAAATGTTGAGTCACTGATGAGTACTCTGAGTAAAATGATCCACACTAAAGTGGATGCCTTACATCACTTTCTTGAGGGCTGTATTTCCTTATTGCAAATAAGAAAGTAATGGAAGACTCAAGAGCCAAGCTGAAATTGAGGTGTATCACATCAACTGCTCCCCCTGTCCAAAAGGCTCTTCTCTGTGTCATAGAAGCAAATCAGTTTGGCTAAGTAAGACTTAATCTTGACAAATCCACAAGCTCTCAAAAAGAATTACTAATGGCTTTGCAATTGCCTGTGCCAGTTCCTTAAGGACTCTGGGATATATCTCATTTGGCTATGCTGACTTGAAAACATCCAGCTTTCCTTAGTCATTTCTAACCTGCTCTTTCTCAGCATAGGCTAATTATCTCCTCTCCTACCCAGCTGCCAACCATGTATTTGACAGCTGACTTTATTTTGGAAGTCTGAAGAAAAAGAAAGCATTAAGTACTTTAGTCTTTGTATCATGCATTGTGAGATAGCCCTCCTGATTCAAGAAGGGTCCTACAATTTCCAAGGCACCAATATTTCTAGGAATGTCTTTGGCAGTATCTCACCAGGTGTTGCCTGTGGCATCACTCTTCCCAAAAGCGCTATAAGAGCCATCATTGTGCTTGTATGTCAGCTCACGCTGGTACCCTGCATGGAGGGGAGGCAAACAGCACATTCAGCATCCATCCACCACTGCCCAGGGCTAGAATCTACCCTGGTCTGCACCCTGATGGACTGCTGGCCCCTGCCTGGCCCTGGGGCTGAGACTCAGATGGGATCCTGGGTGCAGCTGGCTCATGGGAAGGGAATTAAGCCTAAGCTGGATCCAGGACCCCAGAAGCGGGTGATGCCTCCAAGCTTGGGAAAGACCATAATCAGGCCTCCTTGGAGAGGCAAGGCCCCACCTCCCCATCCGAGATCCTGGGGTCCACAAGTGATCTTGCCGCCTGGGCCATGCCTTGCGGGAGGAACTGGGAGGAGACTCACCACTCTTCAGGAAGCCCTGGGCCTTGTCTCTGATCTCTGGGGTTAGCTGGCCGCTCGTCTCCAGGTATGGCTGAATGTAGATGTTGGGAGCAAACAGAACCATGTTTTGCTCTCCGCAACCATGTGGCATGGCCAGCAGGCGGTCGATGCTTTGCAGAGCTGCGCCCATCATGTCACCTGGCACAAGGGAGTGAGGGGAGCAGAACATTACCAGCCCACACTGTTCGGGGTGCTCTGCTCACTGACCCCTGGGGGAGCACTTGTTTTGAACCTTTGACCCCACACGCACACCCTGTTTTCTTTTCAGTTGTCCCACGCAAATGTTTGTGGTAAATGTTCAGGAGCCCAGCCGCCCAAATATTTGAGTGGCGGCCCCTGAAGAATGTTTTTTATCCAGTTCCTGTAAAGTCACCTGTCCGGTCACCCGCCGGACGCCGGTACAGCCATCGGCCACCCGACCGGGGTGGCCCTAAGATACATCTGGACAGTTATTTTCTAACAATAGTACCAGCCCGCACAATTCCTGCTAGAACGTCATGATCCTGTGAGCCATGGGCCCTGAGCGGCCCGGTGTTCCCTGTTCAGTTTTTGCTTCACAAGTGTGGCAGCTATGTGCCATGGACTGGCCAAGCATTTGACACCCTGGCAGTACCATGTGGCACCACTGCCCAACTTGAGGTCCTCATGTTGGCCTGGAAAGCAGTATATACCAAGTCTGAGGAGGACTTAAGAAGACCTGTGGGGAGTTGTGACATTATCTCCCACAGGGATCTTGACACTGCAGTAGGGGAGAGGTAAGATTTTTCTCTTATTCCTTTCCTGACAGCCAGGTCCTTTTATCTCGGCACACGGCTACACCGGGACATGATGCAGCTGAGTGAGTCCCAGGCACCTCTCTGGCCTCCCTGCCCCATGGAATTGGAGACATGCTGGGAAAGGTTTCTGAGCTCCCCGGATCGTTTCCCAGACCCTGGCCCAGGATTATTCCCTTCAGTTGTGCTCTAGAACAGTTTGCTAACTTGGCGTTATGGGAGACAAACTAATAGGATGTTGTTAGCGCATGGCACAGCAGAAAGGCAGCAGACCTTTCCTAGAGGGCTTGGAGGCAGCTGCACCTGGCATCCTGGGTACCTGGTTCCCAGAAAGATGCAGGGAAATTGAAATGAGTCCTTAGAAGGGCAGTGGCTTGAGCTGGAGGCAGGGCCAGGAGAGAAACTCAGTGGGTTGCAGTAAAGCTTCATGGTCTTGACAAACACTGCAGGGGTCACTGGTATGGGGATGGACCTTGGGGTTATATCCAGAACGGAGAAGAACTGATCATGGGAGTACACAGCCTGAATGTCAAGAGAGACTCTCTGCCCATACAATGGCTGGTGACATGGACAATAGGGGAAAAGTGTGAGTCCCAGTGGTGGAGGCAGGAAAATGCCCTGGAGAGGAGGCTGCAGGGATAGGTCCTGCCCTGGCAGGGACAGGCTGGGGATCCTTACCCAGGACAGTCACGTGGGCTCGCTCAGAGCCTGCCACTATGTTCCCAGGAATCGCCAGGGAGACGTTTTCTGACACTGTGTAAAATGGGGAAAGAGACAAAGCTGAGTCCTGCTGGGAAACTGTCCTTCCAACCAACTGGAGCCCTACATTTGTAGGATCATAGAAGCAGAGAAAGTTAAGGTTTGAAAGGGACCTCAGAAGGGCACCAAGTCCAATCCCCTGCTCGAAGCAAGACCAGCCCCAACTAGATCTTCCCAGACAAAGCGTTATCTAGCCGGGTCTTAAAAACTTCCGAAGATGCAGATTCCACCACCTCTCTGGGTAACCTGGCCCAGTGTTTGACTACCCTTCTAGTGAGAGTTTTATTTCCCTAGTATCTAATCTAAACTTCCCTTGCTGTAACTTGAGACCGTTGCTCCTTCTTCTCTCATCCACCAGCACTGAGAACGGTCTAGCTCCATTGTACTTCGAACTTCCCTTCAGGTAGTTGGCCCTTTCTGGCCTCTGAGAGAGATAGTGAACCATGGACATGGGGGCAAGCAAGAAGGGATGTGGATCTGTCCCCACACAGTCATAACCAGACTAGGATCCACAGCTGGATGTGGTCAAGCCTTAAGCCAACTGCACAGGGTGCCACTGATGCCCTCTACAGGATGCATTTTCCACTGAGTAGCTGGCTATGGGCAGGGTCCTGGGCCTGTGTGCCCTCCCAGCCTGGTGTCCCACGACCTGGACTCCGCAATGGAGATATCAGACGGAGCACAGCAGAGAAACGGCAGAGCTATGTG